TCTTTCCATTGCATTTGATACCAAAGTGCTAAAAGGACACAACGCAGACATTTCATTTCCTAAAAGTTGCCCTACTTTTCTAGAATGAACACTTAATACTCATTTTTTCAACTAAATAGAAAATCTGAGGGAGAAAAATGTATTTGCATCTACATATTAGGTGGGTATCCATGTATAACTTAAAACAAAAATTTTTAAAATAGAAAGTTGTATTTTTTATACAGCATAGCACTAATAATTTAAGTTTTTGTCTTTCTCCATATCTCTCCAATCTTTTCTCTGTATATATACCAAAAAGAGAAAGAATACAGATCTGGGGGCCACAGTCCAAATACGGCTCTGGCATCCACAGACATGACCTTGCTCATGTCATTTAAACCGACTGAGCTTCAGTTTCCTCCAGTATAAAATGGAAAAAATACTACCTAGTATGAGGACTTTATGTACTTGGTAATGTAATTTGTTATAACTGTTGGGGGTAGCACAACCTGTGCTGCTTCTTGATTTCCTTTCATGAGTAAACAAAAAGTAAAGGAATTATTCAAGAATCTGTCAGCAGGGCGTGGTGGTTCATACTGCTAATCACAGCACTTTGGAAGGCCGAGGTGGGTGGATCACATGAGGCCAGGAGTTTGAGAACAGTCTGGCCAACATGGTAAAACCACATCTCTACCAAAAATACAAAAACTAGCCTGCTATGGTGGCATGTGCCTGCAATCCCAGCTACTCAGGAGGCTGACGCACAAAAATAGCTTGAACCCGGGAGGCGGAGGTTGCAGTGAGTTGAGATTGCTCCACTGCACTCCAGCCTGATCTCGTTACATGAGACCAATAACGTCTACTTTTCGTCCAATCCTGTTTCCCATATTAAACTAAATTGACTCTACTCAGCAGGTCTCACAACTCTTTTTTCTGTGGATCAGGAATTCCTGAAATTAGCAACACTCTAGTTGGCCCTAATTCCATAAGACTTTAACTACATTAGGAATATCTGAAGCCGTGGAAAAAGAAGTGGCACTTTTCTACTAATAGGATTTATCTTCTAGCAGCCCACTATGATTTAGGTCTGGTCATTACGCATCTTATCTTTTGCAACAGAAAGCACTTTGAACCTTCTACAAGACCGAAAGAGTAGACCAACGGCTTTCTTAAGAGACCACATCCGAGGAAGGGCCTGCTTGGGCATGCACACACACAAAAACACTTTCTCAGCTACTAATTTTGTTGACAGTAGATCAAACTGCTGAAAGGTGGTAACAAATTGAGAATAGAAACATATATGCACTGGAGCACTGGAATTTAAGGTGCCACACTGTACTCAATCATCACTAGTATCTAATCCTTCTCTGGTTAATACTTCAAAAAAATTAGAAATATACACTATGCAATTCTTACAGATAATCAACCCAGGAAAAAACAAATACCATCATCACTACTATCCTTGCATCCCCCCTCAAATAAAAATAAACACCAGTCCCAAGAAGAGAAATAACCTAGAGGACCCCAAAACATCAGGGTATACAAATAAGAATCATAAAGAAATCCTACCCTCAAAAATATATTTAATTGGAGTTTTTCTTTGAATTTGGTTTTCAGAAGTTACCTGTCTGGATGGGTAGGAAGGACAGAATGGAGAGTATTCACTGGCAATGTCTGTAGTCTCTTCATCCCTATATTTCACAATCGCTTTTTGAATTCCACAAAGAAAACAAAGAACTGACAAATAAGGAGCTAATATATTTCAATATTCTTAAAAGAAAACAGACGTACCATTATTTGCTTGTTGATCCCAGGAGAATGAACTTAGCTGAATGATGGGGAGGCGCGGTGGATACCAACAAGGGTACACAGAGGAGCACCTGTGTCTGGATGTGCTGAGTCCTACTGACATCTGGATCTTAGAGTGAGTGTACCTAAAATTCCCATATGTGCATCCTACTCCTAACCATGCTGTATTCTGAATGTGTATAAGCTGTTGTCTTCGTTGGCAAATTTGCTGGACAAGTGATTAAAGGCTGTCTAACTTTTACAACTGAATGAGTAAATATAATCTCTTCCTTAGTGGCATTACAAATTACTACACTGTGACCAAGAGTCACTTGTGGACTGTAGAAATCACAAATGTCCAATCTGTGAATGCCAAAGTCTACTGCTCCTTTTTCCAAAGTACGTACAGGGCCAGCCCTTACTGAGGTTGAGAAGTGAATAACAACAAACATTTCTTGGGCTGTAAGTGCCAGCTACTGTTTAAAAAGCTTTATATTTATTTACTAACTCATTTATATTTATTAACTCATTTAATCCTCACAGCAAACCTTTGCAATAGAGTTATTATACCCATGATTGTCTCCATTTTACAAAGGAGGATACCCTGCTAGTATGTGGCACAGGTGAAAGTCAAACCCAGGTATCCTGGCCCAGTCTGCGTTCTTATTCAATGCCACACTGTCATGTGGAAAGAAGAAATGAAAGGAAAAAGGATAAACAAGGCAGAATGATCAGTGAAGGGCCTGCTAGACCCACCCGAAACCAGGTCAAAGTAAGCAACACAAAGTGACCAGGGAAAGTGGAATGAAAGTTATAGAGAGGCCAAAGGAAGCTAAAGGGAAACAACAACAAAAGACACCTACACCCACCCTAAATGACACTGGTCAGCTGCATGGAGAAGAACCTCAAGGCTCCTTAACGCCTGCTGAAAGAGTTACTCTTATAAGACTCACTCCACTGGGTCCTCTGAGGTAAGAGTTTCTAATTTTCATCCCAACCAACTCTTGAGAGTTCAGTGAGACTCCAGGAAAGGCTCTAACCATGAATAACACTGGTATGTATGACTGAGCAATTCTTGCTTCCTCTCAAGTATAGTCTTGGCCAGGTGCAGTGGCTTGTGCCTGTAATCCCAGCACCGTTGGAGGCCAAGGTAGATGGATTGGATCACTTGAGCTTGGGAGTTCGAGACAAGCTTGGGCAACATGGCCAAACTTCATTTCCACAATTTTTTTTTTTTTTTGAAACGGAGTTTCGCTCTTGTTACACAGGCTGGAGTGCAATGGCGCGCTCACCGCAACCTCCGCCTCCTGGGTTCAGGCAATTCTCCTGCCTCAGCCTCCTGAGTAGCTGGGATTACAGGCATGTGCCACCATGCCCAGCTAATTTTTTGTATTTTTAGTAGAGACGGGGTTTCACCATGTTGACCAGGATGGTCTCGATCTCTTGACCTCGGGATCCACCTGCCTCGGCCTCCCAAAGTGCTGGGATTACAGGCGTGAGCCACTGCGCCCGGCCCCCACAATTTTTTTTTTTAATTAGCCAGGCATGGTGGCATGTGCCTATAGTCCCAGCTACTCAGAAGGGTGGGGCAGGAGAATCACTTCAGCCTGGGAGGTCAAGGCTGCAGTGAGCCATGACTGTCCCACTATACTCCAGCCTGGGTGACAGGGCAAGACCCTGTCCCCCCACCCGCCAAAAATAAAGAATAGAAAAGAAACAATAGCTAGGCTTAGCAACTAATATGGATAGCATCACCAAATGCTCTACTCATATTGCAATATATTGGAGAAAGAGAGGACTCCTCTAAAGCTTAATGGAAAGACTATCACTTGTGAAGCCTGTTCAGAGAGAGCAGTGGATGGGTGCAGCACATTCCAGGATCTAGAAGCCAATTCAACCAGCATCCAGTGAGAGCTGCCTCTGTACTATCCCTGTTCTTTGGGGCGGTGGGAGCTTCTTAAACCATAAACTGGTTTTAGAGAAAAGCCTAGAGTTGCCCGTAAGCCTCTGTGCTTTCAACTCTGACATTCCCTAACAACTGCCTACTTGGCAGATGTTGACAACCTTACTTCTGCAGCTGTGAAACATGAGACAACATTCCTCACTGATTCCATTAACTACCATGTTCAATGTGCAGCAAAAAGGCAGAAAAGGTATAGTTCTTTAATAATCAGGCAGAACTGGTTCTACTGGTTAGGCTGACAGGCTTTTCTTAAAAAACTAACTCTGAAACTTATGCAAATTTTCAACAAATGCATCAGTTAAAAATGGTCTATGTGCTTTGTATAGCATCTCTTGCTACTCTATTTGAGTTTGAACAAAGCTTGCCATTATGGCACAAAGGAAAGGCAAAAGCTGCTGGCACGGGGATCATAGCACACCAAGGTTTTTGAAACTAGAATATCTCAGTGGGGCTTAAATTCAACTAGAACAGAAGCATGACAGCCTCAAGTGATCCTTCTGCCTTGGCCTCCCAAAGTGCTGGGATTATAGGTGTGAGGCACCCTGCCCAGCCAAGGTTAATTCCTTATTTCAATATTTATCCCAATGTTATGGCTACTTTTTATTTGTTTAGTTTATTTATTTTCTTTTTTTTTTTTTTTGAGACAGAGTCTTGCTCTGTCACCCAGGCTGGAGTGCAGTGGTGTGATCTCGGCTCACTGCAACCTCCACCTCCTGGGTTCAAGCAATTCTCCTGCCTTAGACCCCTGAGTAGCTGGGATTACAGGTGTGTGCCACCAAGCCCAGCTAATTTTTGTATTTTTAGTGGAGATAGGGTTTTACCATGTTGGTCAGGCTTGTCTTTGACCCCTGACCTCATGATCCACCCACCTCGGCCTCCCAAGTGCTGGGATTATAGGCGTGAGCCACTGCACCCAGCCTATTTTAATTTTAAAAAAAGATGAAAACATGAAAAATAAGTCGTCCAGTTTCCACAAGTCTTCCCCCACAGATCAAAAGAAAATAGCTACATCTGTTCTGGATCCCACCGAGAGTATCAGCAATTCCCAGAACCCACAGCTGCGACTACCCCCACATCATCTAAAAACCTCGCCCATGCTGAGCCAGAAAGCATTCCCATTCTGGCAATGTCTAGGCCAGACAAGAGATGAGAATTTGAGAACTACCACCCATTCCTTAGCAAGTTTATGGCCCAAAGGAGACACAACTACTGGAACCCGTATCTCACAGCTGGTCCAGCATCAAAAAAGTTGCCAACCTGATCTCTTCTCAGAACTATGTTTCTAAGGAGTGGGCCAAAATCACAGGGCTCCAATGGGTCTGAGTCAGTACTCAAGTTGTATATCTGGTTACTCAGAGTTGCAAAATGACCCATCTCTAATATATACCAATTCCTTCCAAGAAACAGCTCCTGAATATGTTAAGTACCAAATGCTGAGGATAAAATGAGGAATAAGGCCAGGCATAGTGGCTCATGTCTACAACCCTAGCACTTTGGGAGGCCTAAGGCAAGTGGGTCACTTGAGCCCAGGAGTTCAAGACCAGCTTGGGCAACATGGTGAAGGCTCGTCTCTACAAAAAATATAAAAATTAGTAGGGCATGGTGGTGCACACCTGTAATCCCAGCTACACCTGAGCCTGAGGAGGTGGAGACTGCAGTGAGCTGTGATTGTGCCACTATACTCCAGTCTGAGTGACAGAGTAAGACCCAGTCTCCAAAAAATAAATAAATAAAATGATGAAAAAGAATTGACTTTTATTAGTCAGCCATGGTGGCATGCACTTATCCCAGCTACTCAGGAAGCTGACATAGAAGGATTGGTTGAAAGTTGAGGCTGCAGGAAGCAGGGATTGTGCCACTGTACTCCAACCCAGGTGACAAAGTGAGAACCTGTATCAAAAAAAAAAAGCATCAACTTTTGCCCTCATGAAATTCAGACAGACAAAAACTAACTAGAATACTGAGTAATGGGTGTCGTAAGTACCAGAAGCCTATAAAAGATTCTATCTCTACACTTCATCTCATTTATTTCTCAGAGCTTAGTTAACTACCATTATTGTTTCACTTTAGAGATGCGGAAAATGAGACTAAGCCAGGTTAAGAAGAGTGGGTCTCAAGCCTTTACCCGAAAGGCTTTACCTGACAAGGGTTTATCTGACGAGGGTTGTACTCTCTCAACCCATATACAACCTGCCTCCCCCTGCCGACCATGCCGCCGCCTCCTCGGCACTGCTCCTCCCCTGGACTTCACATGCTCTTTTATATACTGAATGATCATCTCTTATGCACATGCTCTCTTCCAGGCACAGCAAACACAGGAGTAAACACAACACACCGCACCTAAGTCCCCAGAGAACACAGGGGTCTGACAGCACTGCTAGCACTGGTAGAAACATGCTATGTTAGTGGAAATGCAGGGTACAATGGGAACACTCAGAAACGCTGAACTACATTCAGAACAGGTCAAAGAAGACTGCTGCACTCAGGAAATGTCATTTATACTGAGACCTGAAAAAGAGCAGAAATTAGTTCCAGGCAGAGTGGCCATGTGATGGTTAATACTGAGTGTCAACTTGATTAACGGATGCAAAATATTGATCTTGGGTATGGCTGTGAGGGTGCTGCCAAAGGAGATTAACATTTGAGTCAGTGGCCTGGGTAAGGCAGACCCACCCTTAATCTGGTGGGCACAATCTAATCAACTGCCAGTGAATATAAAGCAGGTAGAAAAACGTGAAAAGGCAAAACTGGCCTAGCCTTCCAGCCTACATCTTTCTCCCATACTAGATGCTTTCTGCCCTCAGACATCAGACTCCAATCTCTTCAGTTTTGAGACTTTGACTAGCTCTCCTTCCTCTTCAAGCTTGCAAATAGCCTGTTGTGGGACCTTGTGTTCATGTAATTTAATACTTAATAAACTCCCCTTTATTCATATATTCATACACGCACACACACACATACATACATATATACATACATACATCCTATCCTGTTAGTTCTGTCCATCTAGGGAACCCTAACACAGATTTTGGTACCAGGAGAGGTTCTAGAGGAACAGAATATTAAGGATGGGGTTTTTTCATTCATTGTGGGGTTTCTGGAGTTGGCTGCTTAGTATTAAACCCAAAAATGCTAAGGACTCTACTTCTAATGGTAGGGAGAACACTGATAGTCCTTGGCCTGAACTGTTTAGAAAGTTATGCAAAATTAATGCACTTGACACTCCTGATTCATTGCTCATGACAGGCAAGGAGTTTGGTGACTCTGTACATAATACCTTTGACCGTATGTGAAGAACCAAGGGACATAATGAAGCTGGTTGGTTGCTCCTAAGTTCAGTGGACAAAATGATGAAAGAAAATGATGAACTCAGGGATTCTATCTCCCAGCTTCAGAAGCAGATACTGAGCCTCAAATCTGCTAAGACTGCCCTGAGTGAGAGTCTTATCTCCTGCAGAGAAAGAGCTGGAACTGTGGAAAAGCAGACACAAGTTTGTATCATGTGAGTGGCTGACCCGCAACGAAAGGTGCCTGCACAGCCTCACCAGATGTCTACTGTTAAAGTGAGGGCAGCCAGGCGCGGTGACTCACGCCTGGCTCCCTCCCAGCACTTTGGGAGGCTGAGGCTGGCAGATCACGAGGTCAAGAGATCAAGACCATCCTGGCCAACATGGTGAAACCCCATCTTTACTAAAAAATACAAAAATTAGCTGGGCGTGGTGGCGCGTGCCTGTAGTGCCAGCTGCTTGGGAGACTGAGGCAGGAGCATTGCTTGAACCCAGGAAGCAGAGGTTGCAGTGAGCTGAGTTTGTGCCACTACACTCCAGCCTGGCGCCTGGCGACAAAGCAAGACTCTGTCTCAAAAAAAAAAAAAAAGGTGAGGGCATTGATTGGAAAAGAATGACACCTTGCTATTTGTAATGGGACGTGTGGGAGGACCCTGATGAAGCTGGGGACACTGAGTTTGTAAAACCTGATGAACCGTTTCTGCCAGAAGAAGCATCCCCAGTAGTGGAAACAACCCATCCCTGACCCATCCTGCCATCACCCTTTCCATCTTTGTGTGAAACAAACTCTAAGCTGCCTGAGGCAACACTGATGGCCTCCCCTGAGGCAGCTGCCAGGCAAGATCATGTTGATTCTCCTCAGGAGCCACCCTCCACACCCCTGTTTGCTTCCAGACCTATAACTAAAGTCCCAGCAGGTGAGGTGAGGTTGAGAGTGTGACCCATGATGAGGTGTGCTATACTCAAAAAGAACTGTTTGAGTTATCTAATTTATATAAACAGAAATCTAGAGAATAGACATGGGATGGATATTAAGGGTATGGGATGATGGTGGAAGAAACAGAGTTGGATCAGCCTGATTTTATTGATTTGGGCCCTCTAAGTAGGGACTCTGCATTTAAAGTTGCAGCTCGGGGAGTTAAAAAAGGTTCGAACACCGCATGTTCTCATTCATAGGCGGGTGTTGAACAATGAGAACACATGACACAGGGAGGGGAACATCACACACTGGTGTCTGTTGGGGGGAAATAGGGAAGGGACAGCGGGGGGTGGGGAGCTGGGGAGAGGAAAAAAAAAAGGTTCTAATAGTTTATATGCTTGGTTAGCTGAAATATGGATTAAAAGATGGCCCACTGTGAAGAAGCTGGAAATGCCTGATCTTTGGTTTAATGTAGAGGAAGAGATCCAAAGGCTTAGGGAGATTGGGATGGTGGAATGGATTAGTCACTTTAGACGTACTGATCCGAGCTGGGAGGGTCCAGAAGATATATCCTTAACCAACGCCTAGCAAAATTAATTTGTGAGGGCAGCACCTGCATCTTTGAAGAGCCCTATAATTGCTCTTCTCTGTATGTCAGATCTAACAGTGGGAACTGCAGTCGCTCAACTACAAAATTTAAATACAATGGGAATAACTGGATCCCGAGGTGGCAGGGGCCAAGTGTCGGCACTGAACTGTCAAAGGCAAGGTGGGCATAGCTACCGTAATGGACAGCAGAGGCAAAGCAGCAATAAGAATAGTCTGACTCGTGTAGAGCTCTGGCCTTCGCTAATTAATCATGCTGTTCCTAGAAGTGAAACTGACTACTTCATTCCTACTTAATTTATATAAACAGAAAAATTCCAGGTTGTATGGACAAAAGACTAGTTCAAATTATAAAAACAGAGAATCACGGCCTCTCAACCAATTTCCAGACTTGAGCTAGTTTACAGACCCAGCACCCCTTGAAGGAAGAGGAGGTCAGTTCCCCTTGAGGAAAGACCACGCTACATTACCGACAATTTATGCAGTGAATCTTTCTCTCATCCTTCCCCAAGGAGACCCCCAGCCTTTTACCAGGGTAAGTGTGCACTGAGTAAAAAAGAAATGATCAAACATTTTGGGTACTACTGGACACTGGTTCTGAGCTGACGTTGATTCCAGGGTACCCCAAGTGTCATTGTGGTCCTCCAGTTAAAGTAGGGGCTTATGGAGGTCAGGTAATTAGTGGAGTTTTAACTCAGGTCTGACTTACAGTGGGTCCAGTGGGTCCCCGGACTCATCTGGTTATTTTCCCAGTGCCAGAATGCATAATTGGCATAGACACACTTAGCAGCTGGCAGAACCCCCACATTGGCTGCCTGACTGGTAGAGTGAGGGCTATTATGGTGGGAAAGGTCAAATGGAAGCCGTCAGAGCTGCCTCTACCTAGAAAAATAGTAAATCGAAAACAGTATCGCATCCCTGGAGGGACTACAGAGATGAGTGCCACCATCAAGGACTTGAAAGATGCAAGGGTGGTGATTCCCACCACATCCCTGTTCAACTCTTCCATTTGGCCTGTGCAGAAGACAGACGGGTCTTAGAGAATGTCAGTGGATTATCGTAAGCTTAACCAAGTGGTGACTCCGATTACAGCTGCTGTACCAGATGTGGTTTCATTGCTTTAGCAAATTGGCAAATCTCCTGGTACCTGGTATCAGCCACTGACTTGGCAAATGCCTTTTTCTCCATTCCTGTCCATAAGGCCCACCAGAAGCAATTTGCCTTCAGCTGGCAAGACCGGCAATATACCTTTACTGTCCTACCTCAGGGATATATCAACTCTCCGGCTTTGTGTCATAATCTTATTCAGAGAGACTTTGATTGCGTTTCGCTTCCCTGAGATATCACACTGGTCCATTACATTGATGACATTATGCAAGACATAGCAAACACATTGGACTTATTGGTGACACATTTTCATGCCAGAGGATGGAAAATAAATCCGACTGAAATTCAGGGACCTTCTACCTCAGTAAAATTTTTAGGGGTCCAGTGGTGTGGGGCCTGTTGAGATAGTCCTTCTAAGGTAAAGGAAAATTTCCTGCACTTGGCCGCTGAGAGGCACAATGCCTAGCGGGCCTATCTGGATTTTGGAGGCAACACATTCCTCATTTGAGTGTGTTACTCTGGGTCATTTATCAAATGACCCGAAAGGCTGACAGTTTTGAGTGGGGTCCAGAAAAGGAGATGGCTCTGTAATAGGTCCAGGCTGCTGTGCAAGCTGCTCTGCCAGTTGGGCCATAAAACCCAGCGGATCCAATGGTGCTTGAAGTGTCAGTGGCAGATAGGGATGCTATTTGGAGCTTTTGGCAGGCCCCCATAGGTGAATCACTGCAGAGGCCTCTAGGATTTTGGAGCAAGGCCCTTCCATCTTCTGCAGATAACTACTCTCCTTTTGAGAGATAGCTCTTGGCCCATTATTGGGCTTTGGTAGAAACTGAACTTTTGACTATGGGTCACGTCACCATGCGACCTGAACTGCCCATTATGAATTGGTGCTTTCTGACCCATCTAGCCATAAAGTGGGATGTGCACAGCAGCATTTCATCATCAAATGGAAGTGGTATATATGTGATTGGGTTTGGGCAGGCCCTGAAGGCACAGTAAGTTACATGAAAAAGTGGCTCAAACTCCCATGGTCTCCACTCTTGCTACCCTGCCTTCTCTTCCCCAGCCTGCACCGACGGCCTCGTGGGGAGTTCCCTATGATCAGCTGACAGAGAAGAGAAGACTAGGGCCTGGTTCACAGACGGTTCTGCACGATATGTAGGCATCATCTCAAAGTGGACAGCTGTAGTACTACAGCCCCTTTCTAGGACATCCCTGGAGGACAATGGTGAAGCGAAACCTTCCCAATGGGCAGAACTTTGAAATTTGGGGAAGAGGTATGTGGATAAAACTCTGAGTGGTCAAAAACTGTGAAGGTATCTGTATCCCACATGAGTGCTCACCAACAGGTGACCTCAGCAGAGGAGGATTTTAATAATCAAGTGGATAGAATGACCCATTCTGTGGACACCACTCAGCCTCTTTCCCAGCCAACCCTGTCATCGCCCAATGGGCCCATAAACAAAGTGACCATGGTGGCAGGGATGAAGGTTACATATGGGCTCAGCAACATGGGCTTCCACTCTCCAAGACTGACCTGGCTACGGCCACTGCAGAGTGCCCAGTTTGCTAGCAGCAGAGACCAACACTGAGCCCTCATATGGCACCATTCCTTGGAGCAATCAGCCAGCTACCTGGTGGGAGGCTGATTATACTGAACCTCTTCTATCATGAAAGAGCAGAGGTTTGTCCTCACTGGAACACACACTTACTCTGGATATGAGTTTGCTCTTCTATACAGAATGCTTTTGCCAAGATTACCATCTGTGAACTCACAGAATGCCTTATCTACCATCATGGTATTTCACACGGCATTGCCTCTGAACAAGGCATTCACTTTGCAGCTAAAGAAGTGCAGCGGTGGGCTCATACTCATGGAATTCACTGGTCTTACCATGTTCCCCAGCATCTAGAAGCAGCTGGAGTGACAGAACGGTGTAATGGCTTTTTGAAGTCACAATTACAACCCTAACTAGGTGACAATACTCTGCAGGGCTGGGAAAAAGTTCTCCAGAAGACCATGTATGCTCTGAATCAGCATTCAATATATGGTACCGTTTCTCCCATAGCCAGAATTCACGGGTCTAGGAATTAAGAGGTAGAAGTGGAAGTGGCACCACTTACCATCATCCCTAGTGATCCACTAGCAAAATTTTTGCTTCCTATCCCTGTGACATTATGTTCTACTGGTCTAGAGGTCTTGGTTCCAGAGGGAGAAATGCTGCCACCAGGAGACACAACGATTCCATTAAGATGGAAGTTAAGATTGCCACCTGGACACTCTGGGCTCCTCCTACCTTTAAGTCAACAGTGTTGGCTGGGGTGATTAACCGTGAATATCAAGATGAAATCAGTCTACTCTCCATAATGGAGGTAAGGAAGAGTATGCATGGAATACAGGAGTCCGTTAGGATGTCTCTTAGTATTACCAAGCCCTGTGATTAAGGTCAATGGAAAACTACAACAGCTCATTCCAAGCAGGACTACAAATGATCCATACCCCTCAGGAATAAAGGTTTGGGTCACTCCACTAGAGAAAAAAAAAATAAAAAACACGACCTGCTGAGATGTTTGCTGAAGGCAAAGGGAATAAAGAATGGGTAGTAGAAGAAGGTAGTCATTAATACCAGCTATGACCATGTGACCAGCTGCAGAAACGAGAACTGTAACTGTCATGAGTATTTCCTTCTTCTTTTGTTAAAAACATGTTTACACATGTAAATACTTCTTTTATTTCCTTTATCATGTGACATAAGATTTATGACTTCATATCAGCATTTAAGTATTGTTAACTTTATGTAATGGTATTTGGGGTTGGGGATTGGTGAGTTTCTGGTTGTATGAAGGGTAGTTGTATTATGACCTTATTATTGTCTTTATTTGAAGATTATGTATAATCTCAGGAGATGTGTATGGGTTCAAGCTGACAAGGGGTGGACCTGTGATGGTTAATACTGAAGGTCAACTTGATTGAATCTATATATGGAGTTTATTAATCTCCAACCCAAATACAATTACATAATACATACATACATACATACATATATATATATATATCTCTCCTATTAGTTCTGTCCCTCTAGAGAGCCCTGACTAATATACGCCAACACTCTCTCAGGCTCCTCTTGGTCAAGTCTCCTTTCTGGGCAGGGTCCTCTTCCCTCCTCACAAACCCTGTGTCCCCTGGATGAGCTCTCCCACTCAAAAGTGTTTCAACAATGTAGGCCGATGATCCCTAAGAGGTACCTCACTCCAGATCTGCCTTCAGAGCTCCAGGCCTGGACACCTCAACAGCCTCCTGGCCACCTGCACCAGAATGTCCCTCAGATCCTTCAAATTTACATTTCAAAATCAGCTCATTACCACCCCTTGCCAAACCTGCTCCTTTGAGCTCTGGTTCGGGGCCAGCCACCCAGCTGGCCAAACCAGAAACCTGGGAGTCACTCTTACCTACTCCCTGCCTCTCACATCCTGTGCTCCACTGTCTTAACAGCTCCAAATTGCCCATGTCTATCCATCCCTGTCGTCACTCTGACTCCGGGCCACCATCATCTCCTACCTTGCATACTCCTGAATGCCAGTTGCACTGCCTCCAACTGGCCCCCACTGCGTCCACTGGGACCACCCAACCCACTATCTCCACTCCTGTCCATCCAACTCACTGTCCAAACCACTGTCCACACAGTTCAGGTCCTGTGAGGGCTTCTCTGATTAAAGCTCCTTCTATCAGAACGCTGAGGTGCCCCTTTGCTAGACACCCAAACCACACTCTGTACATGCCTCCAGAACAGCACTTTTTTGGAGACAGAGTCTCCCCGTTACCTATGCAGGAGTGCAGTGGCACAATCTCAGCTTACTGCAACTTCTGTCTCCCAGGTTCAAGAGATTTTCATGCCTCAGCCTCCTTAGCAGCTGGGATTATAGGCACCCACCACCACACCTGGCCAATATATATATATATATATATATATATATAAGCAGGTAAGAGACTTTTTTTAGTAAAGACGAGGTTTCACCATGTTGTCCAGGCTGGTCTCCAACTTTTGACCTCAAGTAATCTGCCCACCTCAGCCTCCCAAAGTTCTGGGATTACAGGTGTGAGCCACCACGCCCGGCCAAGCACAACACTTTTCACACTGAATTGCAAGAGTCTCTTACCTTGTCTGTCTTGCCAACTAATGATACAAACTGAGGGCTAAGGCTGAACCCTTATGGATTTTTAGCCTCAACTCCCAGCACATAATTCCTGACACAGAGTAAATTGTCAGTAAGTCTGCTGAAAGAATGGACACATGAAAACATACAAGGAGACAAATAATTCTTGATCCTGGTAATATTCTTCAATCCTACGCATAGCTCTTAAGAAATTAAAGAAATTGCTCTATTAAAAATTCCTAAGTGTATCATTAGTGCCAAGTATTACTGAACTATTGTCACATCCTTACCTTAGGTGGCTTTCTGAAATAATATTCTGGTCTGATAGAGTAGGGGCATATTCAAGGTCAGACTTGAAATTTGGAGCCTTCTCTCTGAGAATATAGACTAAAGATTGAATGAATTCATCCACTATCTAGCTGTAGGAAGCTAAAAACCAAAACAGGATTTGTTTCCTGAAGCTGATTCCCAGGGCTGCTGGTCCCTCACTCCTGGCCAGAGGGCGTGGCTCTCTAGAGCAGGCCTAACTAGCAGGCTCATTCTCCAAGCTTCTGAAAACATGACAGGAGGCAGCTTTGGTGCTGACCACAGCTCTATTCCACTAACTACTTACTGCCTTTGGCAGCTATAAGCAACAATTACTCTGACAACAAACCAAGAGAACAAACAGCATCTGAAGCCAGGGAGGCGGACGTGTAGTAAGAAGCTAACTGACAATGTCTGGTCTCAAGGGAACAAACCACATACACAAACCCAACCTGGTACCTGGTCTTCCAGTATTCTGCTGTTTATGTGTTATGCAAATCAGTTCTCAACCCTAAAATGTACAAGTTGAATATTTTTAATCCAAACATGACACTCCAAAGGAAGGGATTTTGGATTTTCAGATTAGAAATAC